GAGAATGGAAAGATGAGTAGCAGTTAAGAGGGGAAGTGAGAAAGGAAGAGCACGAACAGCAGAGTGAACAGTGTGTGCAAAGCTCTGTAGTAGGTGGGAACGTGGCAAATACCAGGGTCTGAGAGAAGGCTGGTAAGGAATAACCTCTTAATATGAGGTAAAGCGAAAATGTTTCTGAAAGCAAGAAAAGGTCAAGCAAATTCTAAAGCCACTTCTTCTGTTATTAGTCCATGTGCACCCTGATTCTTTTCCCTCACAGCCCTTCTTCCCCTGGACCGACAGCACAGCTAAAGCCGTCTGAGAGTGGGAGGTCCTGCTGATTGACAAGTAGTCACGGGTTACTCACAGTCAGTCATTCCCAACAAACCCAGGTTATTATTAAATGTAGTGGAGCAGTGAATTCAGTGGTTAGTAACTGAGAGAGAGCCTGAGAAACGCGGTGAGGTGGCCGAGGGGAAAGCCACCTCCATGGAACAGGAAGTCTTTTCTCTTTTCAGAGCATCATCCATCATACTGGGGGAAACGGCAGGAACATAACCTACTACTTCTTAATAGGCTTCTGCACAGAGAGTGGCTTTGAAGGAGCAGCTGCCCACAGTAAATTTCACTGACCCTTAGAGCCTTTCTCCAAGTTTTCCAACTGTTTTGTCTCCTGAGCAGCAGCTCAGTGTTGGGTCCAAGTTGCAGCACCTGACAAAACTAAGGAGCCTCTGCCATATGAGAATGGAAAGCGTTCAGTGATGTTGTCTTTTCCGTGCTACCCCAACAGTGAGACATGATGCCATTCCATCTGGCCATAAAGTGTATTCTTTCCCAGGGAGAAGAAGCCCAGCAAGGGATTTTCTTTTAAGGTTTGGTATTTTACTGTACACATATCAAAGAAAATACAGTGAAATATGGCCCAATCCCAAGATAATGCAGCCAAGGGGCCAAGTCTTCTCAATTAAGCAGAGTTAATAAGTTTAACAGGATAAACAGCATTTAGAGTTCATTCATGTTTTAATTTTTTTTTAATTGTGAAGTTTCAGAGACATAAAAATCAAAGCATAGTGTCACAAATAAGTAGTGTAGAAATTAAGAAAGCATATTCGAAAATTTAGCTTCTTCCTCTTCTGAACCATTTTCATATCAATTCCAATTAAATTTTGGAAAATCTGATTCTTATATACAAAACAGACACAAATGAATTAAATAAATAAATATGTTGCCTTTGATGCTGAAGGTTGATGCTTCAGATCCCCTGCTAATGGGTCTTATGCGCTGAACTGCTTTGCCAGGAGTGGGAATAGATTTGTTTACCTCTTGCTATCCTATCTTAGAGCCTGGTTCTCTTTGTGGGCTGTTTAAGACCTTTGTGAAATGAGGGGCTGGGGGTAGGGGTTCAGTCTATGATCACGGATCACAGTGAATACACTTGACCCTTGGGGGCCTGAAATCACACTCTGATTTTTTAATTGTCACCAACTGAGCTGACTATTGGGGCTCAGGGAACTCTTAGACACTCATACTTCAGTTCTTCCACCCCCAGGAGGGGAGAGAGGCAGACACAAGTGGGAGAGTTTTGGTGGTACAGGTTTTGAATCCTGCTCTCACAGGCAAAATTCCTCTCAGGTGCCCTAGTGCCTCAGAGCAAGTGAACAGCAGAAAGGGGCTAAGGCTGTGGATTCCTTTGTCTCTGATTATCTTAAGCAAAGATCCAGATACATTTTTATAAAGTTGTCACAATGAACATTTACTTAATGATGCCATCTCCTTTGACTTGTACTTGCTTTCCCTGGAATACTTTCAAGTTTCAAAAGGAAAAAAAAGAAACAATGATGTATTAATGATTGTTCTTATTGTGGGGAGGAGTTCTTAAAATACAGCTACCTATCAGCTGGGGTTGTGGTCACCATCATTATAATGATTATCACAGTGACCATTAATTGAGGAAAGATTATAGGCCATGTACTTGACACATACTCTCCTTGAGGTCAAGAACCCTATGTTGTTCAGGATGGTATGCCCAAAATAGGTGTTCAACAAGCGTTTGCTGATGGAATCGTGAGTGGATGAGAATGAGCCTAAGAGCATAATACACTAACATGCATGAAAGTTACTGAGTCAGTGTCATGAGATGGCATGTATATACCTTTAGGCCAACTTCAAAGTAAAGGAAATCCCTAATTAATTTTACATTTTAATTAATAATAAACTCAACTAATTATAAACTAATGTACAAATAACTAGCAGAGAATTAAGCCAATAATTACCCTAATGACTAAAGAACAACATCACTAATTAGCACTCTATGTTCACAGGCTGAGTCAAAAGTGAAATAAACTAATTAAGATCAAAGAAGGAAAAAAAAACAGATGCATACAGATCCTGAGCACTATTAATGTCTAGAGATTTAAGACTGTTCGTTTCCACATTACATAGGTTGAGATATATTAAAATCACTGTTTTTGTCAAAATGCTTAAATATCAGTTTTATACAGTACAACCTTCTATTTTCATATAGATTTTCTCATGTTAACACAAAAATAACAAATTATTGTAGGTTAAGAATATTACTAATATTTCACTCTTTGAGGAGATCTTAAAAGAAATTCTGTTAAAATCTCTAGCCTCTTTACATTTATACAGTCTATATTTATGCAGTTATTTATATATTCAACATTCACACATTGAATATATTCAGTCAGTCCCTGCCCATAAAGACTCAAAAACTTTTTAACAAAGAAGATCAATATGAACTCAAATAAAGCTCTTAAAGATTTATAAAGTTCAGATAAACATGTAAGCTCACTAGGTGAGACAAACTGAAATGAACCTTCTGAGTTTCTCAGCATTTCCCCCATTAAACCAGAAGTAGCAATAAAGGCTTCTGAGGGAATCTTTCCTGTCTTCCTCCTCAAAGTAGAAGTCCTAGTTGGGAAAGGGAGCTCCTGGGTCTATGCAAAAGAAAAAGAAACACTGCCTGCAAATACTGTGTTAAAAAGAGAAAACAAATAAATGTAGATATCAGAGATTAGTTTCTAATTATATATATGTGTATGTAAGTATACGTATATGCTGTTAGATGCCGAGTCGATTCTGATTCATGGTGATCCCATGTGTGCAGAGTAGAACTGCTCCACAGGGTTTTCAAGGCTGTGACCTATCAGAAGCATATTGCCTGGCCTGTCTTCCGAGGCACCTCGGGTGGGTTCCAACCAACAACCTTTTAGTTACCATATTTTTATGCAAATAATGCACACCTTATATGTTTGTTTGCCAACTGTGCCCTCCTCTCGTGAAGTATTTTCATAGGCACACTGTCATGGTTTGAATTATGCCCCCCAAAAAATGTGTGTAGCAATTTGGCTAGGCCATGATTCCTGGTACTGTGTGATTTTCCTGTATGTTGTAAACCCTGCCTCTATGATGTTAATGAGGGAGGATGGGTGGCAGTTGTGTTAGTAAGGCAGGACCTGATCTATAAGACGGGATTGTGTCCTGAGGCAATCTCTTGAGATATAAAAGACAGAAGTGAGCAGTGAGACAGGGGGAACCTCATACCATCAAGAAAGCAGTGCCGGGAGCAGAGCGCGTCCTTTGGACTGGGGTCCCTGCGCAGAGAAGCTCCTAGTCTGGGGGAACACTGATGAGAAGGCCGAGAGACAGAAAGCCTTCTCTTGGAGCTGACACCTTGAATTTGGACTTTTAGCCTACTTTACTGTAAGGAAATAAACTTCTCTTCGTTAAAACTATCCACTTGTGGTATTTGTGTTGTAGCAGCACTAGATGACTAAGACACACACCACGCTAAATTTTTTTATAACAACATTTAAAAAAAAATTGGCAGAGCAGCGCTTACGAGAATACCTCTTGGGGGAGGGCACAGCTGGCAAATAAATATAGAAGGCGTGCATTATTAGCGTAAAAATACAGTAGTAGTCTATCACTTAACTGTTTGCACCATCCAGGGACTCCATACATATGTACGCACATATATATTTCAATATATACATATTTATCAAGGATAAGCATGTATAAGGCATTATACTGGGCAAAGGTAAAGAGTGACAGGCCAGGAAAGAGGAACAAGTGAAGTGAAAATTGGTCAACAGACTTGGTGTGTGTGTTTGGGGCGGTGTGTGTGTGTGTGTGTGTGGAGGATAACAGAATCAAAGTTGGGTTCATGGAGAAGTGGTGTTTGAGTGAGTCATGAAGCATGACTATTATCCTGGCAGGTAGAGACTGGGGAGGGAGGTTTAGCGAGTTCAAAGCAGGAGGACCACAACAAAAAGCAATGGAGAGAACTGTAAGGGCAGAACAAGTTCAGAGAGCTCCAAAATGCGTGGAGTATAGGGAATGTGAAGAGTTGGTATGGAGGAGAAGGTTGGGAGAATAAATTGCGGCTAGACTGTGGAAGATTTTAATCATAAAGGAAGTATTAAAATTGATTCTGTATGCAGTAGAGAGGCAGTTAAAGATTTGGGGCAGAAATGAACAACTATTAGAGCCTGTGCCCTGGTGGCACAGTAGTTAAGAGCTATGGCTGCTAACAAAAAGGTCGGCAGTTCAAATCCACCAGCTGCTCCTTGGAAACCCTGTGGGGCAGTTATACTCTGTCCTATAGGGTTGCTATGAGTTGGAATTGACTCAATGGCAACAGGTTTTTATTGGAACCACATTTTAGGAAGAAAAATGTGGCAGCTATGTGTAAGATGAATTGGAAGGGGTGGAAAGCAGGGAAGCTGAGGGTAGCACAGTTTGGTGGGAGTGTTGATAAACGGCAGGGAGATCAGTTGTAAGTTGGTTACAATGGAACAGGAGGAAAGCGGTGAGGGACTGAATAAATGTTACTGACATGAACATAGAACTGAGCAAATGGAAGTGAGAAACACAGTTGAGGCTGAGACTCAGGAGGATGTGGTGACCAGTTGGATGTGGAGCAAGAGAAGGTAGCAAAAAGTGAAGAAAACACCAAGGTTATCACGCTAGGATGACTGCGTAGGTAGTGGTTTCATTACCAGAAATGGGGACATGATGAGTTTATAGCATTTGCAGGACACCGATGTAGAGATGTTCAGCAGGACATTCAAAAGACAGATTTGGGCCCAGGAGAGAAGTCAGGGCCAATTTTGGAATCAATTTCCTAGAGCTGAAAATTGAACAATTTATTGACTCAAAAATATTATATAAGTAACTAATAAATTATTTTCATTAACAAAATTAAACTTAAAGTACAATAAATTATAATATAAAATTAAATTAATTCAATTGGATTGCAAAAGATCAAAGGAAGGAGAGTGAATAGAGAAATGAGCCGAAAGGTCACAAGGAAAAGGAGAAAGGAAATAGCATGAGCGAATTCATTAAAAGGATGAAGATTGGGAGCCTAACTAGAGCAGAAGGAGAGGTAGGTAGGAGAAATTAAATTTGCAAATCAAAATTTGCAAGGACAAAGTCAAATCTGGTGTTAAGTTAAGAAAGACATTAGCTAAGAATGGGTAAGATTCTGTTTGGAATAGCTCTGTTCATGTTAGCATCTAAAACTACATATAAGGGGGAAAAAAAACAAAATTTTAATAAAAGAATTTGACAGACCCCAAAAACATTGAGTGGAAGTGAAATAAAAGGACACTGGAATGGGCTCACCAGAAATAATTGTTTGAAAGACGGAAGGAGATTTGTTTTTCCAGTGTTACGTAAACTAATCACCAGTATTTAAAGTTTACTGACTCTTGGTAATCCCAACTTCTAGGATGACTTAGACATTAACAGACGTGCTCCTGCATTGTTTCCTCACAAAGTTGGTGACTGCCTTTTCTTGTTAGAAACATGAGTCACACTTTCTCTTAAATATCCCCTCTACTCCTCCCTTTTTTATTTGCTAATATAATTCTGAAAGAGTGGGGTGTATAAAGACCTTCATTTTGACAACTCTTCTACATTTGAGAACTTGCCTAAAACACAGTAGGCACATGTATTATTTCTTTTCTTTCTAATCACTCCAGGCGGCTGCTGAATATTCTGAAAACTTATATTTTCTGAGCCTCCAAATACTTTGCTATGAAAAGTTACACATGCTAAAAAACTGGGCCAGTTTGAGGTCTAATTTTACAAGAATATAAACAGACATCAGTAGCTGCATAAAACTTAAAATGAACGGAGCTACCATAGCTTGGCCATCTGATACACAGAAAGCAATCCAGTATACATGCAGGCTGCCGTTCTGTATCATCATAAGCTCTACAGATCAGAGGGAGTGGAACTGTGATTAAAGAGTGAGAAATTTGGGAATATTAAAAGGCCACGAGACTCCCTGCAGCATGTTTAAATGTATTTCAGCCTTCTCTGTGATAGTTTAACAACAGGTTGTTTTTTTTTTTGCCAACAACCAAAGGCAAAAATGGGAATAACTCTTTAAATGTAACCAGGTAGTCCTGACTTACGACGGGGTTACGTTCCAATGACTCCATCGTAAGTCGGTTCTGACATAAGTCGAGTACTTTTTTTTTTTTTTTTTTAGTTTTCATTATTGCCTGCTATATGGCAGCGTTTTGAACAGTAAATCATAACACTGAATGTCTGTGAGGGAACATCTGAGAATGATAGCATCAGCAAATTACATGCTACAACGTTGCTGGTAGTACATAATACTAAGGATAAGATGTTAAAAAAAAAAAAAAAAAGACGGTCATAAGTACGGTTCGTTGTAACTGGAATATGTCTAAGTCAGGGACTACTGAAATTACTACACCATGTTAAAGTTACAAGTATAAACCTGAGAATTTTGGGGCCAAAGAGTCATAATATATATGTCAAGTAAACCAAAGTAAACCAAAATAATACATATATGCCAATTAAAACAAAACTTCAAGAATAGTATTGGGTATAGTTTTAGGGGAAATAAAAAAAATAAATTAATGCAGAGATTGAATACATAAAACAAGAAACCAAATAGTATAATAAAAGGCAATAAAATTTGGTTCTAGAATAAGAAGTAAGAGATAACGTAGCAGCCAACATTTTAGCTAGAAAATGATCAAACTGGGTAGTCTGACTTCTTGACCTACTGATGATGATGACAATGAGGACTACCATTTTTAAAGCATGCACTAGGCACATATTATCTCATTGAATCCTCACAACAATCCTATAAGAAAAATACTTCAATAATTCTCATTTCAGAGGTGAGGAAATTGAAGCTTCCTGGAACTCTTGACAGGATATAAAAGACAAGGCAGAAGAAGTTAAGACATACATAAAGAATTTTACTGATGGCATCAAAAAAAGAAATACCTACAAAATAAAGATGCTAGAGAATGAAGAAGTGCAGCAGATGACCAAAGATTTACATCATAATAAAATATACATTGGAAATTCAATATAAGCCAAGGAAAAATGTAAGGAAGATTTTTTTTTCTTCCAACTGGATATCATTCTATCTAGAAAACAAAGTTGAAAAAGAATTTTTTTGAGTATTTCCACTCTTTGTAAAGATAACAATTGTTCAATGGGTGCAAATTTAAAAGAGCACATACATTAAAGTCTTACAGATTCAACTTTTAAACATGTAATTTTAAGATGGTCGTGTTTGGTTGAGGAAACTCACTAAACACATTGCCATCAAGTTGATTCCAACCAATAGGGACCCTATAGAAGAGAGCAAAATTGCCCCGTAGGGTTTCCAAGGCTGTAAATCTTTACAGAAGCATGTTTCCACATCTTTCTCCTGCAGAGCGGCTGGTGGGTTTGAACCGCCAACCTTTTGGTCAGCGGCCAAGAGCTTTAACCACTGTGTCACCAGGTCTCCTTTTGGCTGAGGAAGCACCTAGAAAAAGCTTGGTGGTTCAGCTATTTCTCAGATAATCTTGTTTAGTCCATGGTACATACATACACAGTGCCCAAATCCTGAGGGTGGCCCAGACAGACAGCTGTAATGTTTCTTCTTTGACAACACTCATGATACCCCCAACTGATGACAAATGGGAGGAAACCTGGCAACCACGGTTGATATCAGTGAGGTGACTGAGCAGTAATCACAGGAGGAAGAATCAAAGTTCAAGACACCCGGCAGAAGCAGAGTCATAGGAAGAAACAAACTAAAAACGAGAGTTGCAGAGAAAACAACTGTAAGCAGGGCTACTGTTGGGGGAGGCAAACACTCAGGTAGTCCCTTGCCAGGCAGCGTCAAGGTAAACCAACACCTCAGCCACGGGATTTTTTGCTCCAGATCAAAAGGACAGCAGCGATGCCATCTGCTGTTTGCTTAGAAAAATTGTAAGAGCAGATGTTTCTATGTGTCGACCTGCCATCCCTTGACTAAGAGGCCACTTGAAAAACAATCATGAAATATCGCAGGAGAAACATCTGCACAGTGTACAGCCAGACTGCTGATCGTGCAGCATAGCAGGGAAGGAACATGCAATGTGCCCATGACATGATTGGAGGCAGGTCCCCAACAAGGGGAGGGGGGGCATGTGTATATGTCATATGTGAACATATAAAGGAGAGATCAATACTGGGCAGGCTGGGCAGGAGGCTGACAGAAAGTCCACCCATGGGCCTGAGTAATTTCAGTAGGCGAACGTTAACCTATTTCAAATATCTTCAAAAGGCTCACAGCTACCCATTCACTTCTCAGACTCCTCTCTGTTGTTGCCTGTAACATTTGATTTTGTTTAGTCCACATTTTTAGGTATCACTGAAATTAAACGATTAGCGGTTCTTTAAGAACAAGCCCTGGCCTGTACGTGCAAAAAAAAAAAAGCAATAAATCAAAGACAAAGTGTCTGTGCAATGTGGGGTCATGGTATGGTGAGAGGATTTGCATCTCACATCTCCTTCTACCTGGGTTCCAAGAGGGCCTCACCCTCCAAGTGAGGCTGATGCAAGTTGGGATGCTCAGGAACTGCTGAGTCACTTTCGAGCCACCAGGCAGGACAGCAGAGCTCCACCTCAAAAGGAAACAAGTTTCATTTAGGATTTGCACCCCAAGGGTGTTCCCGTTGCTTGGTGGCCACATATGCCACCCTATGCTTTGAGAGCCTATGTCAAAGGTGCTAGTCATCTCTCCCTGACACCCAGGGGGATGCAAGTCCTTGGGCCTCATTTCCCACCAGCTAATCATCACCGCAGCCGCTCAAGTCATTTTCTCAGCCAGAACACATATACTCAGGAGTAACTTCAGAATTTTTCAAAATTGTGTTTTCCCTTCATGCATATAGACGACAAAAACTTTTACATGACCTGTATTTCCTCTTAAACATGCTACAATTTTTCTATTTTGATTTCAATGGACAAATTTTTTTCTAACTTATTTTAATTATTTGTTCCATCCTCTTTTTTCTGATCTAATGATCTATTGCCTAATCTGTCTTCAACCGTTTTGGTTTTGTACTTTGGTGGTGGGGGGTGGGGGTAGGTAGGGAGCATTGGCTCATTTTTAAAGGAACACTTACTTCCTCTTCCTGTTGCTGTGAGTGAGGAATTTTCCATTGACCAAAAAGGGAGGACTCAATCTTACTTTCTTTGCTTAGCAGACTACCTGGAACATAGTAACTGAGTAAATGCTCAAGTGTTTGAATAAAGAAAAAGGGATTTTCAGGACAGTTCTTACTCAAAATGCCTGCTTTATCATAAAACTACCAGAAATAATTCAGAATCTCCTTAAACATAAAACAGAAACACTGCTGCACTGGGGACCCTGAGCTCTGAAGTGGCTGCCACCGCCTCGTCCCAAACTCTTGGAGAAACAGAAGGAGTGGTGATATCTCTCCTCTCTTACAGCGAGACAGCCTTTGGAGAAAAACATTACATCATCATTGTCTGTATATTCTAATGAAGTGGGGTCTCCTAATAAAGTTTGACCTATCAATTATATAGTATAGTATATAACACTACCATTTACACCACACATTATTCCCAAAACGAGACTGAAAGGACTAATGCATCACTTCATTTTCAAAACAGGAATAGATTTTGTCTCCTTCAAAGTTGTCATCTTGTTAGGCCGAACACATTTCTTGAGTATTCTCTTCACACATCGCACCTTAGGAATTCCTGCTTTGCTGTGCCTTCAAAGCTGCTTTTTTTCTTTTCCATTTTCCCCCCATACTCTCCTCAGCGGTCACAGAGCTATTCTTTAGAGAATCAATTTGAGTTTTATAAATATCCAAATGTTATCTGGAGGCAAGCATGGGCAACAATATGATCAAACTGGTTACTATTCGGTCAAAATTAAGATGCCATTATAAAGTCCCATATAAGCAATTGCAGCCCTGGTGGCACAGTGTTTAAGAGCTCGGCTGCTAACCAAAAGGTCAGCAGTTCGAATCTACCAGCCACTCCTTGGAAACCCTATAGGGAAGTTCTACCTGTCTTATAGGGTTGCTATGAGTCATAATCAACTCAACGGTAAGGGGTTTGGTTTTTGTTTTTTTAGGCTGGGTATAGGGTTGTTATAAGTCAGAATCAACTAGATGGCAACGTGTTTGGGTTTTTATTTTTTTAATATATATATAAGCAATTAGTTGCTTTCTTCTGTGACTCAAATAGGCTGTAAAGGTACAACAAACATGCCTTGAGCAGTTGTAGAATTGCTGCAACAGTTCTAAGATGGTAGTTTTGCTGGATAATAATTTTCTGGATACATAAGTTTTATTTCATGATGATACTCATGCCTCAGAGTAGAGTACAATATCTAATATGATATCGAAGTGTAAAATATAATACATATTTTCAGTATGTTCTAGAATACCACAATTACTTGGTTTGGAAGACTGAGTTTGTAGAGTGTACCTCATTGTCTATTTAGACTTCGTTACTCTCAACTAGATTGGAAGTGAATGTCCTTTTCCTCAAACAGCCAGGTGATCTCAGTATCTAAGCCATTCTACTGACCATAAATTGGGCACATTTAGAACCACTGCATTGTTAGCTAATTTACAATGGTCACTGCTATCAAGCAGCTATGCTTAGTCTTTAAAAGACTGTTTACCATAAGACAACACTATGCTCTAACAAGTTAGTACGATGCTGGTACGTGCCAAACCCAAGTGTTTGCCAAGTATATAGTTCTTCAAGGTATTCAAAGTAGAAGATGGGGCCTTTGCCCTCAAAGGTTATATTATTATATTAGAAAACAATTAAGATAGAACACTGTGAGGTAAACAAAACGACCAGCTGAGGTAGTACTTTAAAAAACTCGTTTACATTGTCTAAAGATAACAACTTTTAAAATAGTTCAATAAACAAGAGATCATGAAGAAAAACCCAGGCCCTCAAAACCCAATTTAAAATTTTGTGTGTGCAAATATAACTCTCCAATAGTACAGACAGAGGAGTCTCCTGTGAGGGGCAAAGTCTTTGCAGACCTATAATCGAGCAAGCTCTAAGGCCATAGAGACCCAAATTAAAGGAAACATCTTCCTTAACCTGCCTAGAAGCTAATTCTTTCTCAATTAAGCAAAGAGATTTCCTAAAGAAAATTGTTGTTGTTGTTGTCGGGTACCATCGAGTCAGCTCCAACTCATAGCGACCGCATGTGACAGAGAACTGCCTCATAGGGATTTCTTGGCCTCATTCTTTATGGGAGCAGATCACCAGGTCTTTCTCCCTCAGAGCTGATGGGTAGGTTTAAACCATCAACCCTTTCGATTAGCAGCCAAGCACTTAACCATAGCGCCACCAAGGCTCCTTTAAAGAACATCCCCATTGATGTCGAGTCGATTCCAACTCATAGTGACCCTAAAGTGAGTTAAAGAACATTAAACCAAAATAAATAAATAAAAACCAAACCCATTGTCAGGTCAATTCCAATTCATAGTGACCCTATAGGGCAGAGTAGAACTGCCCCACAGGGTTTCCAAGGCTGTAAATCTTGACAGAAGGAGACTGCCACGTCTTTCTCCCACAGAGCGGCTAATGGGTTAAAACTACCAACATTTCAGTTAACAGATGAGTGCTTTAACCACTACGCCACCAGGGCTCATTAAAGAACATTAGCCCTTTCAAATCCTGGAGGACAGTGAGTGTATCAACTGAATATATACTCAGGGCCTCGTCCAGTGCTTCAACCACAGCAGTTGTTAGCTACAGGGCAACCCTACTGACATTTTTTTTTTTTCTGGCTTGTAGGATCAAACCATCACATCTGCTTATTTAATAAGGCATAGGCTGGGTATGGGCCTGGTGGAGCAGTGGTTAAAGTGCTTGGCTGCTAACCGAAAGGTCAGCCTCTCCACAGGAGAAAAATGTGGCAGTCTGCTTCTGTAAGGATTTACAGCCTTGGAAACCCTATGGGTCAGTTCTACTTTGTCCTACAGTGTTGCTGTGAGTTGGAATTGACTCAGCGGTAATGGGTTTGGTTTTTGTTTTTTTAGGCTGGGTACGGGGTTGCTATAAGTCAGAATCAACTAGATAGCAACGGGTTTGGGTTTCTTTTGGTTATATACAACGTCAAACAACTACTAAAAAAACATTGAACTGAGTAGTTGCTCCACTCAATACCCAACAAGCTATCTGACTTATGAACTGAATTTACTCTTTGCAATTTTACTGAATTGAATGACTATTTGGTGTCATACAAACAGCACTCTAAGTTTTCTGTTGGCCATCCCTATGATTTTGTGCCCTTTGGAGTATGACTGTAGTGATCCTATATAGTCAAATATTCTGGAAAGCGCTTACAAAACATGGAGAATGTCTGTCACTAGCAACATGATGTGGTCTTATTACTTACAGGCAACAAAGAAAGTTCAGCACCAAACTGAACTTTAAAGAACTCATTCTAGAATCTTTTACCTCATTTTTAAGGAATTTATGCCACGAGGAAGTTGTTTCAAAATATACCATCACAGAAAGTGTGACTCATTTAAGAATTATAATTACTCATTGTGTAGTATTCATAGTCTCATTCTTAGCATGAGCACTCTTTAAAAAATAAACTTACAGTTTACAAAAAATAGTAAAATATTACTCAGAAATCACAAGACAGTAATTTTATTTTCATTCTGTTGGGATTGTATACACGACACAAAGAGAAAAATAAGGAAATAAATACAAGAACACATAAATAATAGAATTCTTAATGACCAAAGATTATACATTATTAAGTAAATTTATTTTTAAAAATTGGTGAATGCAGATATACTTTATTTAGGGGGGCACATTTATTTGTGCTACTCTACTTTTCCAAGTCCGTATTAAAGACTCTAATTTCTTTTGAATTTTTCTCAAAGAAATTTTTCCCAAAGGAATGGCTAATACCCATTATAAAGTATGGCTGAATAATGCTCCAAAATAAACATTTGGCCTTTAATCTGATATGAAATATCACTAGACTTAAATGTGGAGCCCTGGTGGCTCAGTGGTTAAGAGCTAAGTCAGCTTACCAAAGAGTTGGCAGTTCGAATCCACCAGCCACTCCTTGGAAATCCTATGGGGAAGTTCTACTCTGTCCTATAGGTTGCTATGAGTAGCAACTGACTCAATGGCAACAGGATATTTTTTAGACTTACATACTTACAAAGTAAAAGATAGTTACTTAAAAAATTACTTAAAAAGAAGTTCTTTTGCCCTTCAGTTGAATACAAGACTCTGAGACATGGTATGGGGTCTCCTAGTTTGAATATAGTTTTTGAATACGTATTCAGTGAATAGTCCCTATTGCTGGGTTCCCTTTCATAGTATTGCTTCTGTCTTTCCCTTACTTTTAATCTAAAACAGATATGTGAGGAAGGACTCATAATCTGACTACTATGGTTCTGATTTATTTATTTCACAAATATTTGTGGGTGTGTACTATATGCTAGACGTCGGCCTAGGTGCTAGAGTACATAGCAGTAAACAAAACAGGCAAAAATAAACACCCTACCTTCATAGGTTTACATTACCTCTGCCTTTCTTATCTAATATATTTAAGAGTAATGAATTCCAAGTAATCTCATAATAGTGGCAAAATCAATTGGATTCTAGATAATTTATTACCTCCCCATTTTATTTGCCCATCAAAGCTATTTAAGTGACAAAGAATTGCGAAGACTCTGGTATGTGATGCCATTTATGATATTGTTTGAAAGACAAGGACTAAGGGAGAGAGAATCAAATAATGTGTCCCAAAAGGGGGGGATTATTACATTTGAGAATTTCCTTTCCTCTCTGGGTTCTCACTGGGGCTGCCCAAGCATTTTAACACCCTCATAGTCAAGACATGAATATGCAATTCCAACATGGATGGAGGTCCTTGAATTCTGAAAGCAACCACACTTTCTTGCCCCCTAGTGGGATTTAGCCTGTGGAAATTACCCTATTTACCTGTAAATCAAGCCTAGGGGAAGCAAGAAAGAGCTAAGCCTCACATTGCTTGATGTTCCCTTAAACAACCAAATGAAAAGAGAACTTTTTAAAATCATTTGGTTTCTGTTTATCGACTCTTGTCTCATTACAACTTTAGGCAAAGCTGACCAAGTTTAAAGTTGACATACTATTGAAGAAATAATGTAAAAATTGGAATACCTCAAGAAAATCAAACCCAAACTTTCCATGGTTATCAGTTAAGAAAGACACTTCTCTCAGGAAGCAACATCTGAATCTCAGACCCCTGGCTTTTGTCCCCCTAAATAATTCTGACCCTTCAGTGACTTTCTCAATAGAACTACCAACATCTTACTGGCCTCAGAGGTACTGTAGTTCCCTTGGCATTTGGGAAAAAAAGCTAGACTCAAAAGTGTCCATACCACTCTTTGTACCAAAGCAAAGACAGACCAGACAGACAAGGAAATAAAACAGAAATAACTAGATAATCTGGTTTTCAAATCATGGCTTGCTGATCCAGATGTTCAGAACCCATTCTTACTAGTATTATATACCATGCTTATTTAAATGTTACCAATTCCTTTGCTTACTATCCTTTCTTTCATCTCAATGCTTTCTGATGAGGTCATTTTCCTTCTTGAAGTATAAAGAGTGTGTGTGTGTGTGTGGGTGTGTGTGTGTGTATGTGTTTAGGTTCTTTTAGTAAACGGAAAGTTCTTTTAGAGATAAACTCTGTTTTTATATGAAAATATCTTTATTTCACTCCCATTCTTAAAAGATAGTTTTGC